TTTTGGGGAAAATCCACGTTTATTTTGAAGACTATCCATCACTAGAAAGACACTTTAAATCAGAACACTACTGTTGTACAGAGGAGCTGTGTATCAAAAGCCACTGCTACGCATTTGCACACAAAAGCGAGTTATGGGCTCATTGCTTCAAGATACACAACATCAAAAAGGACCTGGAGGAGTTTAAACTGAAAAAGTATCTGGGAATTGAGAAAAGAATGGATTTGGATAAGAATGAGGTGAGCGAGGTGAGCAGCAAACAGTTAGAGAAGCTGTTGAAGAATATTGACGTAAAACCAAGGCTATTGAATCCAGTGATAGGAAATCAAAATGGTATCAATTTCAAATCAGAGAGCAATTTGAATATGAAAATGGTGGAAAACTTGACAAAAAATATTGTGGAGATGCAAAGACAAAGAATAAGCAGCGTTGGGCTGACTGAAACATCAAAAGTGGTACAAAACAACTACAATAATATAGAGAAGACCAGAAATGAACTGGAAGAGCTGTTTGGGGGACTGTTTCCTAATGCAGAGAAGACAGATCGTATGATGATGGTCTATTCGTTGCTCAGTGTGCTATACAGAAGCAAAGAGACGTCATTTCTAGCAAAATACCTGGAGGAAATCAAATATCCGAAGTTCGAAGTCAAAGAAACCAAAAAAGAGGAGCAGCCTGTCAGGAAAAAGATGTTCAAAGTCTTTGATTTGAGCAAATTGAAGAAGAAGTAAAAATGGTCAATTTAACCCCAATGTTTGTTTCACTAGCATTTCTAATGAATGACATTTATGCATTAATTGAGGTATTGGAGCCTACAAGAAACTACAGAACAGCCAGTTTCATCATGGCCGCTAAGAATACGGTGCAGTTCATGACTGCTTCTGTCTATGGCCTGACAAAAACAAGCAAATGGGAGAGAATAAAGTCGTCTGACATTCAGATCAAAATGGAAATTATGTTGGGTGATAAGCTGATGTTTAGGGACAGGAAGACTGCGTTAGAAACAAACTACTTCTACACTACGCCTGTTGATGGGAAATATTACGTCATTTTCACACTTCATGGAACAAGGTTGAAGGAATATGGCAAAATAGGAATTGATGCTAAGACATTTTCAGGAGAGGAGTCCATGCCAGTCATCGTATCAAATGGGGATGTGGAGCTGACTAAGGCAGAAAACTTCATAAAAAGTGTACTAGAATACGCAAAGAAGAACCTGACACTGCAGGATGTTGACTTTGAGGATGATAAGCACTATAAGGACATCTTTGATGGAATACTGCGAACAGCAGTCTTCCTTCTGGTGCTAAAGGTGATAGCAACACTCTTCACCCTCTTCTACTCCAATTGGAAGACGAAACAGTTCTTCAAAACTGAGAAAATCACACAATAATAGGAGTATTATATTACTTCATGTGTTTATGCCTAATATATTAAGCTTAAATGACATATAAACAAACAATCTGATTAACCCATGAATCTATTTACGATTCCATTTTACGAATCTATTTACTACCTGATCATTCGAATGAGCTGAGCACCATTGGGAAGAACAGTTGCACGTATATCCCAATGATACTTGACGAATAGACGATATCAAAGAGGGAGTGCAGTTTCTTGAATTTGTACAGGAATAGTGCAGCCAAATAGGTGGATCTGTAGGCAATTCCAAATAGGGCGAAAAACTTCCTGGTGTCAGCAAACTTCTCCACTGCCAGAAAGTTCATGTAGATTATCACTGCATTTTTCACGGTGTAGTTCTCTGCCTTATGGAGCTTGAACACCCTTAGAATGATCAGAATCAGTGTCATCTCCACTGAGAAGTAGAACAGCATGTCTGTGTGACTTACAACGTGCTCGATCTGAAACTGAGAGAAGATCCACTTGCATCCGTCGTAGAACCACTCCCTGTTTCTGCTTGTGAATACGACGGCCAGAGAAAGAGTCCATAACGCGATCTTGCAGATGACTGTGCTCATGGTTCTTGTCTCCTTTATGTTCGTATTATGCCAGTTTAGGAGTCTCTGCTTGACATATTTGATATGACGCACGTGTCTGGTGATGTTGAAGTAGTTTATCGTATTCAGAATGCTCTGGATTCTGCTGCTGCTTACGGCTATTTTTAGTTTGTTGTACATTTTGTGCAGGTGCAAAGATAGAGGCAAATTGATATGCCATTGATCAACTGTGATTTGAAACAGGCGAATTGGACGAAAGTGACTGGTTGAAAATGATCGAATCAGTTTGAAAATCAGTTACAAACAAAGCAGTTTGCTACGATAATTTAGTTCAGGCCAATCTGGTGTTTTGTGAATGTCAGAAGCATCTCGAAGTTTGGAACAGAGAGCACCAGGAAGATGAAGGTGTTTGTGATCACGAACACCGTAAACAGCCCACTTTTGATCATCTTGCACTTCTCCATGAAGGTGGCCGTGATCAGGGAAAACAGCCCCAGGCAGAAGAGCGTAGAGAGGCTTCCAAATCGGAATTCGAGTATTTTGCTTAGCCAGTAGAGTGTTCCAATCACAAACAGGTTTTCTATCAGGAATCTCTTGGCTATTTTGAATGCAAAATAGTTGCAGAACATCAGGAGCAGGGCTGCCTTGGCGAATAGAAGTGCAAATAGCTGCTCCTTGTTCAGGTGAGGGAAGCCAAGATATTCAGCCACTTTGGTAGTCAGGCTACAATCGCATTCGTGGCCGTAGAAGTTGATCAACAGGGCCGTAGTCACCACAATTAACGGGATGTTTTTTACGAATGAAACAAAAGACATGGGTAAAAAAGTAACAAAATATTTACGAGGGAATGTTGACGAATAATGAATATTGATCAATATGGTTGATTAGGGTGTTTCAGGTGGAGAAATAGGATGAAATGGAACATGAGTGATCAATGTTTGTTAAACAAAATAGTAAATAGATCAGGTTGCTAAACAATTAGCCCATGATTTTAATATTCATATCACTAATAGTGGCTGCGGCACCACAGCCTAAGGAGAAAGAAGTTGATTTGATGAAAGATGGTGGACTGGAATACTTCATCAAGGACATTGGAAAGAGTGGTCTAGGAATATTTGGTGACTATAAACGGTTGATGGAAGCAGTTAAAAAGTATGATTTGTACATACAGAAGCACATACCAAATGAGAAGCTGATTCTGAGAGAGAATAGCATCAATGGAAAATACCAAATTAAGATAGAGATTGGTTCTGAGGCAAAATACGTTAATGACATTTGGAAAGCAGCAAAATCAGGTGCACTTAATCACCCTAATATCACTAGGGTATTTGCATCCCATAATGAAGTATATGGACACAAAGATAGGGATGAACAAGTTGTTGTAAGCATGGTGTGTATGGAATTACCACAGTTGTACGTAACAGAGGAGCATATTAATCAGGATGAAAGCAGACTACGCAATATGGTACGTGATATTCTACTGGGAATGGAAATGATTCATGATTCAGGAATAGTGATCAACAATATTGCACTAGAGAATGTAGTAGGATCAATTGATTTGGCTGGTAGAAAAACGTATAAACTATTTGGATTTGATGGAGCAGTTGATATCTGCACTAATAAATCAGTGATTCATCCTGATTCACAATCAGTGAAGTATCACGATGAAGATAGCCGTAATAACCTACTGTCTCAGGCTCGTGACATCTACGACCTGGGAATAATGATATATTGGATAATGAGAAGAAGTGATGAAACATTCAACCAATCAGTGATCAGACAAATTGGTCAAATAAGCTACGTATTCAAGGAGTCAATTACCGAAGAGTGTAAGGATTTCATAGTTCAGGCAACTTCTTATAGCAAAGCAGGTAGAGCAGGATTAGAGGAGCTATTATCACACCCATTTATCACAGGAAAACCAATGAGACAACAGGAATGAGGTAGAATCAGCTAAAATACATTCTATTGGTGTCAAATTAATCAATACATTTCTACCAGTAACCATGTTACGATAAAATGGTCTTTTTTACTCCTGGTATGTTCTTCACACTATCAAATGCCAGTGCAATTCTGTTGGACTCGTTCATAAGCATCACTGAGTCAGAATACATCATTGTTGAAGTATTGGATGACCTAGTGGTCTTCAGTTGCATTACAACAGATTACTCCCATTATACGAGTATAAAGTTGAATAGAGACTTCTTCATGCATTCTGACTTAAGACAGAATGCAGCCTGTAAGGTGCTACTGGAAGACGAGATTGAGTTCAGAAGGAATAAGATGGCAATACCAGCACTAAAGTTCAATAGAGCCAATATGATAGACGTCAGGGTGGTAGTGGAACCAAATTCCATTACACTCCATTATACCTATAAGGATGGAGTTGTCTCCTGTGTTTCGTACAGTAGCATCCAGAATGACGTGATTGAGGTGGATGTGCCATGCAACGAGATGGCTGTGGTCGACGTCTCCTTCTTCAGGAAGATTCTGTGCAAATTCAAGTCGAAATACGCTGAAATAGAAACCAGGCAGAATGAGCTCATTTGGAGTGTGACTGGCACGAAAATACGCGTCAAAACAGGGAATCAAATCAGGGACATGAGGGTTGCTGTGCCCTGGAGCCAGCTAAAAAGGGTGTTCTGGTTCAATGGCTACAATTCAGCCCATTTTGGGACAACTGCGGATAATGAGATTGTTAAGGTTGTTTTACAGTTTGAGAGTGTTCTGGTTGAAAGCTACCTGAGTAACAATGTGGGGTAGAATGGGTCTCATACACTTTTATTCATCAATTTAGGATGCGAAGGGCGTCATTCTTGAACTCAACCCCATAGAGCCCCTGCTTTGCCAATTCATTTGCCTCACCCTGGTTCACGTACCTGTAGGATGGATTTGATCCATTTCTGTTGATCACCTCGTAAAGGTGGTTGTTCTCGTTGATGTACACGCGTGACTTGCAGTCTACGAAGAGACAGATCCTGTTTCCGAATGTTCTGGTGAAATACGCCATTACGAATTCCAAGTATCGCCTGTCGTAGAGGATACGAGGGATTCTTCCGTCTGACTTCCTTCTCAGGTCGATGTTCTCGACGAAAGCGAGGTTGCTTTCGCCATAGACACTCAGACACGGTCCACGCTCCTCGTACACGAATGTCTTCGCACTGATTGAGGCAACTCTCAGGGTGCCATTCTTGAGATCCTTGCAAATGTTCATTCTCTTACTGTAATAAGGACACTTTCTTATTACAGGCGGATTAGGAACTATTGGTACAGGTGGACAAATTGGTACAGGTGGACAAATTGGCACAGGTGGACANTCCAAGTATCGCCTGTCGTAGAGGATACGAGGGATTCTTCCGTCTGACTTCCTTCTCAGGTCGATGTTCTCGACGAAAGCGAGGTTGCTTTCGCCATAGACACTCAGACACGGTCCACGCTCCTCGTACACGAATGTCTTCGCACTGATTGAGGCAACTCTCAGGGTGCCATTCTTGAGATCCTTGCAAATGTTCATTCTCTTACTGTAATAAGGACACTTTCTTATTACAGGCGGATTAGGAACTATTGGTACAGGTGGACAAATTGGTACAGGTGGACAAATTGGCACAGGTGGACATGGATTTGGCTTACTTTCTGGTACACAGATAGTTGTATCACACGCCTTACCAAAGTTGTAACACACTTCGTAGTATTTGCACTCCTTGAATCCATCAGTGGAATAGGCACAAATCACCTTGTAGTCGCATTCACACTTATTGATGTACAATGCGTAGTTCAAAGGGTAGTTTGGGTCAAATGGAACCACTGCACCATTCTGGTAGAGAACCATTGGCATAAGATGGTCGTTGTAGCCACCAACCTTGGCCTTCTCAACTCCACACACCTTCAGGGTCATGATGAGCTCCTGGAAGTTCGATGGATTCACCACAGCAAGCTCCATCTGAGTTCCGTCGATGTCCAGGTGCTCTACGACCTGTGCGTCACAGGGGATCTTCACTACGTTGATCTGCTTTGCTATTGCAAGAAGAAAGAATGCAATTGCTACAAACATGACTTATGCATATACTGTTTATTTATAGTGGAAAAGGTCCATGGCACAATAATTTCCAAAACAGGAAATGAAATGGAGGGTGACGTAATAAAACAATAAACAGACGTAAAGAGGTGGAAGAAGAAAAGAGAGGGAGATAGAGAGAAGAAGAGGGAGATAGAAATGGAATACGGTTAATTGGATATGAAAATAAGCTTAAAAAGCATAAATAGACTGAAAGTGGATACCTCAGAAAGAGGAGTAGAAGAAATGAAGGAGTCAGAAAGTGGAGGAGTCATAACAAACAGGGACCCATATGGAATTCAACGAAATAAGGTGCAACACAAGAGGCGAGGAGGAGAAGAAGGGCGAGGAAGCAGTTGGTGAGGGAGATGCTGACCTGAGAAATACCCAGTTAAAACACGACCTTAAATTATTGTTGAAAAATAATGCGACCAAAATAGGCATTCTGAAAAGAGTGCTGTTTAAGGACGGGAAGAGAACGAGATCGCTTCAGGAGCTGCTGAGCAGACCAGAGACGCCAGGTTTGGTCTGCAGAATACCCATATCCAGCAGCACAGTCGAAGAGGATCCAATACCTGAAAATGAGCCAAAAACACCCCTCTCCCAACTCGATGTAAAAAATATTCCAATTCGCCCAGTAAAATCGTACACATTACAGTCACTGAAAAAAACAGAGCCAAAAGGAGACCCAAAGATTCTGTTCAGCAAACAGTTCATTGAGAACGAGCCAACAGATGAGAAGCTGTTCTACAGCAATAAGCGGATATTTCTGTATAAAACAGAATTGTGTAGGTCATTCAGTGAGCTAGGTGTCTGTAAATACGGTGATAGGTGCCAATTCAGTCACAGTTCGGTCGAACTCAGGGACGTCCACAGGCACCCAAAATACAAAACAGAGACGTGTCGCGTATTCTGGGAGAAGGGAACGTGTCCATACGGCAAAAGATGCTGCTTTCTCCATTCTACAACTGATATGGATAAAGACGAGCCATTTGTTGTGAGACAGCAGACATTTCTGACTCTCGTAAGCAGGTTCGTCTCTGATGGCTCAGCTGACTCAAAAGAGCCTGACTTGTATTCCAGGGCAGAATTAGTCAACTCAAGTGTCCCATATTTCAAGTCCAATAAATTAAGGGTGGGTTTCACAGGCAATAGAATTGATGATGAGATTGAAATGGGCCCCATTCAACAGAAGGAGACTCCTCTTCTGGGCAGAATACTGGGAATAAGTGACCTGACTGATAAAATCAAGCACAGATACGAGTACAGGGAGGCAGACTACGAATACAAGAGGAATGTTGATAGAATTGGATTCAATGTGCTGTAATACCAGCTGTATATATGTTTATTCTACCTGTAACAAATCCAGTTACTGAAGTCACCTCATTCTTCCATTTCTGACACTTTTCAGTCGCACTGGCTCATTTCCCAGTAGAACACGCCTGTCTCCAAAATGGAGCTCTCCTTCCACCACCCTGTACATCTCAAGCACCTTCCCATATTTCTCCTTCTTCATGCTGACCTGACTCCTCTTAACACCACCAAAATACTCCTGTTCTCCTTCTAGGCCTATTCTCATCCCAGTCTTGCTCTCATCCACTCCAATGGCCTCAATTCTCCCGTCTTCTGCCCCACAGCATATCATTCCCTCACTCTTTTCAGTCCCAAACTTAGCCGCCTTCAAGTTGGTCACAAACAGAAATGTCTTCTTCAATAAATCACCCATTTTGTACTCTTTTCTTAGTCCACTACAAATAACCTTCTTTTCCTCTCCAAATTCCACCACTTCCCTGTAAATTGTGTCCATTCCAGTCACTTCCTCAATTTCACTTATTCTACCTGCACACACTTCCAGGAGATAGAACTCAGGCGTCATCCTCGTTGATGGATTCTCATTCACCACGTATTCGTAGTTCTTCAGTGTCCCATTCTCAATTGCATCTCGTAGCACGTTATAGTAGTTTATTGCCTTCATGAACTTACAGTCAATTGGTTTAGTTGTTATTCTGGTGATGCTGTTTCTGAACGCATTCACAGTCGTATTCAGGCCGAGTGTCTCAATCAATTTGGTGTAGAATTCAGCACCAGTGTATGGAATACCACTTATTACCAGTTCTGTTTTACTGCTTCTGATGCACTTCATCTCTACACCCAATACTTCAACTGCAAATCCGATTCGTTCATCATCGTTGCTGTAGTGGAGTTCAACTTGATTACACGTGTTGCTGTTTACCATTTACGATACCCTTCTTTTCACAATTTTGTTCTATAGAATCAGGTACTGTCTTGAATTCTGGTGGTGTACTAATATGCCTCTATCAACCTAATTAACTTGAGTACGATTTCCCTACAAATAAATAAATAAATTTCAATATTTTTACTACCAAATCCATGTTAACCAAGAAATTCACTCCATCAGAGGAGAACGTGAAACTGAGATCACAAATCAGTGAATTTGGCACTGCTGCAGCAGAATACAACAAGAACAGGGGTGCAATCCAGGACAGTCCCATTCCATTTGTCTCCTATAAAACAGAGAAGGAGGAGGAAGTCGTAACAAGCACGGAGAAGTTCATGCCTGATTTACAGATAACCAATGAGTACAAGAGGTTCTCCAATGACTATTCAATAAGAGTGAGTAACATTCCACCATCTGTGAAACAGGCTGAACTAGAGAGACTCTTTGCTGGTAAAATTGAGAGATACGCCAGGGTCTATTTGGTGACTGATAAAGTGACGAATCAGTCGAAAGGAGTCGCCTACGTCTCAGTGAAGAACGAGGAGGCTGGAAAGACGATTGTACGTGAAATAGGCGAAGTGGTGATGGATGGATTCTTGTTGAATTTGGCAGTGGTAAAGAGGTATTGATCAGCCTTGTTCATTTCTCTTGGCATCCTTCTCGTCCATCATCTTCTTCTGGATATCAAGCCATTCTGTGTCAATCTTGGCCGTATTCTTCATGTACTTCTTGGATCCCATTTGCTGGATTCCATCAAATATCACGTATTTGGCATTCTTCAGGTTCACGCCATATTGATCACGATACAGGTTGTGATCCTTCCAGACGTACACATCACCAGCTCTCTTTGCAATATTGTCCTTGTAGACGTAGAGGATGAATTTGCTGAATGATTCGAGATCATTGGGGTTGATACTGATTTCTAGGGTGCAATTCAGGGAGTGTCTGTCCATTTGAACCATCCTGTACAGGTATTCACAGAGTTTCTCTATTTCAGTAAGGCGGTTATATCCCAGCTGATATTGGGCAGCCCAATCTCGCCTGTTTTGGGACTGCCTGAATTTGGTGAAAATGTACAGAAATCTGATGAAGTCGGATGAACCGGAATAGAGCAGATCGAGGGTGTTTTGAGTGATCTCCAATGCATTCTGCAGGAAGCAGACGGCCACAATGACCATGTTGAGCACGTTCTCGTTTTTTATCATTTTAGTGGCCCTATAAATGGTAAATGAGTGAAATGAATCCAAGGGGTAGTTATAGAGAGACCTGTTCACCACGTCTATCTTCCCGTCATTCATCACCAGAATTCCACTGGCAACCAGATCCTCGTACGCAGCAAGCAGATCGTCCTGTTCTACGCTGAAATACTTCTTAACTGTCTTATCAACGTGGTTTATGCCAAATGAATGAAGCACAAACAAAATCTCATTGAACTTCTCTCTCGTATATTGTGGCTGTATTTCATCCTCAAATGAGTCGTATTGAATTCCACTATAGAGCCTATGACACACTCCTGGCCCAGTTCTGCCTGCTCTTCCCATTCGTTGTATTGCATTCTGCTTGCTTACGAATGTTATTTTGTATTGAACTACATTTCCAACAACATGCTTGTGTTTCACTAGTCCACTGTCTATCACGTAGAATACGTCTGGCACCGTTATTGATGTCTCTGCTATGTTTGTAGAGAGAATGATCTTCCTTATTCGCGTATCGTAGATCTTCTGCTGCTCCTCCCATGTCATTCCTGAATGAAGTGGGAGTATTTCAGCCAAATGACTAAATTGGTCAAGCATTGCCTTTAACCTGTATATGTCACTCTTTCCTGGTAGAAATACGAGTATCGATTTGTGCTGTCTTTCCATGATCTGCTTCCGTTTCCTTGGATACGTGTATCCATCCTTATCAGTATAGTCAGATGGATCATTCTCTGGCCTCCTGGCCGTTGATTCCGTCCTGAAAATGTATGCTAGTTTTCTGTATATTCCCCTTAGATAGTCGTCAATAGGCTTATCATCGTAGAATAAGCTTACTTTGTGCTTAATGTGCTGGACATGGAAGTATCCAACTGAATCCTCAGCAAATATCTCAGCAAAACGGTTCTTATTCATCGTAGCACTCATCAGAACAACCTTAAGTTCCTTACTCATCTGCTTCCTACGCTTCACTATCTGTGCCAGGAATATCACCACTATTTCAATATTTGTACTACGCTCATGGACTTCATCAAGCACAATTGTGTCATAGGCCATGAGTAGGCAGTTTCTGTAGAGCTCCTTTAGCAATACACCCTCTGTCATTATCTTGATGCGAGTGTCCCTATTGACATTGTTCTCGTACATGATTTTGTGGCCAACAGCATTGTCAATTGAGCGGCATGCGACCATATCGTGGATTCTGCTTGCTATGCTCACGGCTGCCAGTCGTCTAGGCTGTGTCACGCCTATCATAAATATTCTACTGGATACGGATGAGTAGTGGTCGTAGATGAACTGGGGAATCATAGTGGTCTTGCCGCAACCGGTGTCACCGGTCACAATGATGACGGTGTTGTTTCTGAATACGTCCAGGAAGTCATTTTTCTGGTAATAAATCTCATTCATGTTTGTAGAGGCATTTCTCATTTTGTGGGGCAAATTATTCAAATTTGACAAATCAAAACGGATCCCACTCTTCTTTAATTTCACTGTTTCAGTCCCAGAATCAGCCGCAACTTCTCCAGTAGCTCGCTGGTGTCCTCCACGTGGTATTTTGCCCATGTTTTACCCATTCCCACTTTTATCGTATAGCAGTCACTATTTGCTGCCATGAACATGTCTTCGTCTGTTACGTCATCTCCAGCAACCACCATTGGGTCTATTTCGTCTACTGCATCCTTCTTGCTTGCCATCTTCACCTCCATGTTCATTTTTGCCTTAGTTACAAGAAAGTTGTAGATTCGCTGTACTTTTGCTAGGTCCCTGAAAAGGTGTCTGATGACAAATGGAGTGCTTTGCAAATCGACATTTCGGTAGTGAAATGCGTATCCCATCTCCTTCTTCTCTAACACGCATCCTGGTGTTCTTTTTGCGTAATATTTCAGAATATCAGCTATGTTATCATGAATCACTGATTCATTCCTATTCTCCATTTCCAATGATTCAACTTCTTTGGCTGTCAGCTTCCTTCTCGCATGTTCTGATACCTTCCATTTGCCACTTTTATCTCTGAATAGTCCACCATGTTCAGCATATACCTGTATTCCAATAGGAAACCACTTTTCACAGATCTCCCTGCTTCTACCTGTGCATAATACGATTCTATCACTGTTTTCCTGTAGGATTTGTAGTATTTCTTCTGTTGGTACTGCATCCAATGGATTCTTTTCTATTTCTCTTAATGTTCCATCGTAATCCAGTAGTATTCTGTTTATTCCCCTCATTTCTGCTATTATGCCATCTGTTAGTTTTCTGGCTTCTTTTGGGTTTCGTGCACAGGTTGAGCCAATTTCTTTGCTATGGCTCTTTCTGAGTTGCTCAAAGTCTCCCTTTGATTCCACATGGCCGTTTATTGCCTCTTTTATCCTTATTTCTGCCCTGCCTTGTTTCTGTTCCATTTCTTCTTCATTCTCAATATCAAATGTACATTTGTTGTAGTATCCGAAGAGTTTGACGTATTCTAACTCATTTAGAACGTATCCACTTCTCTTTGTTATGGATTCATCATTCATAGACAGTAATTCATGCTTATATTCTAAATTATGCATCTTTATGCCTAATTGTTTTGCATAATGGTCGTATTCTGTACCAACGTAAACTGTATTCTGTTGCATGAATGCCTTTATCAGCTGATCAGTGTTGCTTATTGTCTTCATTGTCAAATTTCTGTAACTCTTCTGGTAGTATTGAATTAACCTATCTATTTCTTCATTGAAATCTACTTCTATTCTTATCAGGTAGAACACGTTCTGGTTTCCGCTCTCAATCAGTGTCTCAGCATCCAGCAGATATTTCGTATCCAAAACAACCCTGTTCTTCTCATTCTCCTTACACTTCACTCCTTCAATTATTTCAAGCATCTTCTTCTTATTGATGTATTTCTCAATGAATACACCATTATGACTCTGTTCGAAGTCATAGGACGTCTCAAGAAACCTGTTGAATGCATTGTAGTGGTCTTCCTCCTTGAAGAAGACAGTGACATTGGTGCATTGCATTGCTTCAATAACCTGTTCGTAGAATGGCACCCTGTAAAGAAAGAAGCTGTCGAAACAGACATTTCTCATTGCCACTTTACACGGCAAATACTTCCCAATGAGCAGTAGATCGTGGTCGTGTACGATAACCAGGTCGTCTTTGCCCAATGTGGTCGTCACCAACAACTCTCTTGCAATATCCTTATTGAATTCCTCATACTCTTCAAAAACAGTCTTGGAATCAACCAAATTCCTAGTTTCAAACGCCTTCTTGTTCATAAAGTCACTGTACAGCTTGGAATAAGCTGTATCAACTGTGAAATAGAAATGAACCAGGTTATCAACATGCATGAATTCACTATCTTGTTCACGATGCTCTTTGAAGATGCGCTGAATCTTGGAGGAGGCCAAACTGCTCTTTTTCTGCTTCAGAATGTTATAGTCAACGTGTCTTTTAATGTAGAAAGTGTTCATGATCCTTAATCTCGAATTCTTTTATCATTTTTAAGGGGCTATTATGACATATTGGATTCATTCATTGGCTCCTTCTTGAATACCTCATATAATTGGTCAGTCTCCTTGTTCTTTTCAATGATAAACTTACGTCCTGCATTCATGAACTCAATGCAGCCAGTCTCCTCATTCATCTCGATCTTCTTATTTTTGATTTTGAAGCAGATCAGTGGTCTAACTAATCCAGGTCTCAGAAATGCAAATGTTCCGTTTTTGACTATTGCAATTCCAACTGCTAGAACGTGCATCTCTAGTTCGTCGTAGTAGCATATTTTTATGTTATTGAAGCAGTTTGCATTTTCAAGTCCATTTTTAGGTCGACTGGTACTGATTTTAATCTCACTGTCTTCTACTAAATTCTTCTTTAGAAACTGTGATTCATTTTTCTCCTTCTTTGATTCCTGATCTGGCTCAACTGCAAAGATGTTCTTGCTATGTTCAGGTGCATTGGCTATTTTGAATGTTCCACTGAATGCTTTCTCACCTAAAGATGCCAATGCTGCTGAATCTTCATTAACAAATTCGCTGTAGTTTGTTGATTCTTCTTCCTTTGTTTCTGATTTGCGTCTTTTGGGTCTCTCTAACGAATTTACCAATTCTTCATCTTTTTCACCCTTAAGGACTTCCTTAAAATGTGCCTTTTCATTCGAATCATTTTGTGTAGTTGAATACGTTTCTGGTTCATTCTCCCTCTCAGTGCTCTCTTCATCATCAATTTTGCTGCTTTCTTCTCTCTTAAACTTCTTTATTTCATTTATGCTCTCTCTGCTTATATTTTTCTTTGGTGACATGGCCCTAAAACACTCTAAAATATTACTCTTTATTCATTATGAACTTGTTTACGTTCGTATTCAGGTAGTTCAGCTCACCTGAAAATGCATTCAGCTGTTCTATGTCATTTTCTAGCTCCTTGAGTCTTTCCAGAATCTGCTCATATTTTTCTGTGTTACTCATTTTATAAGGGTGTTCAAACAATCATTTTATTCTTAAATCATCCCTTATTCTGAATTAGAATGTAGATCTGATCAGTTACATTCTCTACGACCATCTGATTCGTACTCTGCTCTATTCCACCACTTGTATCACCAAATACAGCAGTAACAAACCCAAGAATTGCTACCTTAGTTAACAGAATTGAAATATCTTCTGTATTCGTATTCTGATTTTGCCTGAGATTCTTCTTGTACCCGTCTAATGCTTCTTCCATTTCCTTCTCTCCTGTTTCCTTCAATTCGTCTATCTTCATTTCCCATCCACATTTTTTGATCAAATGACTCTTCAATATACTTGGTAGAATGATTGTCTTGGAGTCTACATTGAATTGATATAATGCACTTAGCAATGGAATTAATTTCGTATGTAGATTCGTTATAGTTAGGTTATTGATCATTTCTGCAGTATTAGGTTTCAGTGGTTTGATATTGGCTATTTCACTGATGTCTCTTCCTTCTACAGCAATTCCAGTTATTTTGCTGATTGGTTTATCTGTTGTATTAATTGGCTGATTAGAATCAACTCTGGTGAGGATGTTGTCACTGATTTCATCCATATCAAAATCACTTATGGATTCGTGATCTGAAATATGTTGGCTCTCAATATCATCCTTTGGAACGTGTTCTAGTATTGAATCACTTACTTCATCCAGATTGAAGTCACTCTCTACACTATCAGTATCATTAGTTAAATCCGTTTGATCAGTTGGATGAGTCTGATTATTTGGGTCTGTTTCGTTAACTAGGTCTGTTTCATTAGTTAGATGGCTCTCGTCAATTGAATCTATCTCAGTTATTGGTTTTGGGGTTGTTTGTGTGTTCATTTCAGTCTGAATATTGATATCAGCTTGCTCAATTAACTTAGGTTCACTAATGGATTCACTGAGTGGTTCGTTAGATATTTCGGTAACTGCTTCAACCTGATCAATTACTTCTGATCCAATATTATCCTCAGGTTCACTAAATGATTCACTGAGTGATTCGTTGGCTATTTCAGTGAGTGATTCTTTTAATACTTCAATTGTTTCTGATTGAATGCTCTCTTCAGGTGCAATAATCATTTCTTGTTCAATATCTGCTTCTTTATCACTTAGTTCTTCCTGATCATTGGCATCGTTTGATTCAATTGTTTGTGCTGGTGTTACTGAAATATCTTCTTCTATTGTTTTCCTTGGAGTCTTTTCAACTTCTTTCACTCTTTCTTCTACCTCTTCGATTTCAATCGCGTGATATTGATCTTCTTCTGTTATTACTTTTTTATCAATAGCCTCCTCTATTACCTGTTCAACTACTTTAGCTATTGGGGCTGATTCAGCATCATTTGACTCATTTGATTCCGTTTCTTCTGGTGCCTTGCTCTTGTTTTCCTCTTTCTTCTTGTTTTCATTCTTTTCCTTATTCTCATCATCTTCTCTGTTTGCTGTTTTCTCACTGTTTCTTTCGTTACTTGGTCTACCATCATTCTTTTTGCTTTGTGTTTTATCTGAATCCTTCTTAGAACTCTTCTTTTCCGATTTATTATTTTTGTTGATCAATAATTCTGGTCTCATTAATGCAACCAAGTAGACTATGGTAAGCAACAATAGCATTGATATTGGCACAATAATAAGTAACATATTTCTCTTCTGTCTCTTATTCATTAGGGTGCATGTTATTTTTGCTTTTAAACCCGTAAATTAAACTGTTTTCTATTAAATTGATCACTGTTTGTCTGTTGCATTGATCAATTATCCAATGAAATAATTCTTCCATTTCTGACAGAATGATTATTATTAAATTTACTATGAATCATATTTTAAAACCATTAAATAAAATCTCACTGCTTAAATTGTCTTTATTTCAACTGACTCATCAGAAATGCCTTCTCTTCTGTCTCCAACATGAAGTTCTTTATTCCAAATGCACCTGCATTCTTCACTTTTGTAGGACACAGTTTTCCAAGCTCACTTCTTGTTTCGATGAACACGACTGGAACATTATTTGACTGGCATTTTGCCATAATCATTTCTCTTGGCTTATCTGGCAGATCTTTGCTCAATACAACCAGTTGCATCTCTTCGTTGCGTATCAGTGTCTTGTACACCTCTGTTGCGCCTGGTGCTGCCTGAACGTGGTTATATGCAATTTGGAAGCACTTCTTCAGACTTGATGTCAGATTGACCAATTCATCCCCGTTGTCAGACATTAGGGTAAATTTTGTTAGAAATTTCCAATTGAATTTATACAGAATTGAGAGTGTCAATCTCCATGGAAAAATGTCCTCTATTTAATACCTGCTCTTTTAATTCCTAAATGTGGACATACCTATCATATTCTGTCTAAAATAGAAATTTAAGAATCTTCAGATGACACCCCTAACAAATGGTAGTAAAAGCAACTGAAAGTTTCAGAAAGACCAAGCAAAAGATTGAGTTCATTGAACCAAGAACTGAGGCAGGCCTAAATAATGTGAATTCAAAACACGTTCTAGTCAAGGCGTCACTACCTGGATGTCCCCCATGTAAGTTTTTACAGGAGTATTTGGAAAAACTGGAATTTGATAAGAAGTTGACTGTAGTTAAGATCAATGCCGATGACAGCTCTTATTTCGTTAAGCAAATTCTATTGAAGTTGGAGGTATCAAGTGTCCCAGTCTTCGCACTGTGCACTTTGCCTGATTTCAAGGTTGTTGACAAGGTGATTGGATTCAATGAGACCAAAGTTAACACACTCCTGGAAAGAGCACTGAAATAGTTTGAAAATCATCAATGAATTGTCGTGGATATTAATTGAAGAAAGTTAACGTGATTATTTAAAAATTTACTCTTATGTTACCAGCATTATTAGTATTTAAAGACCCCAATATGTCGGAAACAACGAATTCAATAATTTACAAAAATGTAAGTAAGCCAGAGGAGTTGAAGAATCTGGGCGTGAATGCGGTACTAATACAGCTTACAGCAGCAAACTGCGGCTCATACAAGAACCTCACTCAATTCATCAACGAATATTCAACCAATAAAGAAATCTACGTGGTCCTTCTTGATCTGTCACAGACAAACGAACTGTTGAAGCGAATTATGATCCAATTCAGTGTCAGAAGACTGCCATTTCTGCTCTACACCACCGTGGACCTGGAACCAATTGACATGATTTGTGGATTCAACGAAGAAAAGGTCTCAAATTTGTTAGAGAGCTATGACAAGCAGTTTGTTCCTACACCTGAATTCTAAATCACTTTATTCAGAGCCGTTGTTCCATATCCAACTATTTTGTATTTTTTGTTCTTCTTGTTTGATGCCTCAACCATTTCTGTGTACATTTCTCTGTTCTCATTGAACAATTCGGCTGCATTTGAATTCGCAGGACTCTCTGGATTTGGGTAGCTTAGCAGCTGAACCAGTCCACTCAGAATGTCACTGATTGTAAGGGTACTAGACCAATTGTTGCTGATCAAATCAAGGCAGACTGCACCATTATAGTAGACATTTGGGTTGTAAACTGGTGATACGAAGTTGACTGTGGGTGGCTTAGCTGGATATCCAGTTCCAAATTTCAGCTCAATTTGGTAGTAGTTTCCATCATGATGTATCTGTGCATCCCAGTTGTACCAGTTGCTGCCACGTGGCTTGGCGTAGCAGCCGTAGTTCAGATGCTTCTGGATGTTTTTGAACTCGTTCTTCAGTCTCAGTAGGGCGTCCATTTACGGTGAATTCTTCTAGAAGCCTTTTGAGACTGAAAAATGTTCTAGAAAGAAAAAAGATTAAAAGAGGAATGAAACCCATAAAAATGCAGGGGTTACCATACAACAAGGAAGCAAGCTTAAAGAAAGAAGAGAGCTTCAAGCCGATACCAAGAGAGACACTAGAGAAGTTGGTGAATCCAGCAGCAGAGGCATTCAGCAATGGATTGGATGATTTCAAGAAGACAGAAAATATAGAAGCATTGGAATCACTCCACTTTGTTCTATTGATGGATGGATCACAGGCAAATGGCAAATTGTTAAGCAGATTACATGAACTGGTTCCATACATGAGTGATACCAAATATTACGACTTGATTGTGGCAATGTTCATTGATATAGCACACTATAATCAAACTGTTCAGAGAATATTGATTGATGCAGGCGTATTCAAATTGCTCAACTACGATAATTCATTGACATTTGAACTGATTTTCAACATCTGTGATTTGAATAAGGCTGGATTGCAGCAGTTTCTGTTAGAGTGCTATAACGAATCACTCAGCAAAAACCCAAAGATCATGTCGCTACTAAAACAGCTGTAACCAACTATTCCTTTGATATCCCAACTTCTTCCATAAATTCCTTTTTGCTCTTTCCCATTCCTTCACTTACACTATTGATGATGTTCTTCAAAATTCCTTTTCTTTCTGCTTCCATTTTCCTGTATTTGACCTGAACCGTCTTATGCTTCTTGTATTCTTCTTCATCAACCAATTCCACATTTTCATACGCCTTATTCTCTGTAATAAACACCTTCATCTTTTCTATCTCATCTTCAAGCTCCACATTGCTTAATTCGTTGTTTAGGCTGTTTATTTCATTCCGTAGCTCCATTCCTTTCTCTTTAGTTATCTTAAATTCCTCTTTCACTTCCTCATAAACCTCCTCCAATTCCCCCATACTCACTCCACTCTGTTTCCTTGCATCCATTGATCCAGCTGTACTAGCCAAATTCTCCTTCTCTCCATAGTTCAACTTGTTCTGATTCAGATACCATATCTTTGTCTTACCATTCATCTTATTCGTAAGCAATCCCTTACTAGTCAAATCATCGCATATTGTCTCAATTTCAGTCTTCCTTGCTTCCTTAAATTGTAAATTTAGTTCTGTCAATATAAATGGTTTGTTTGAGTAGTAGAAGAGTGTATATACCTGATTCCTCAGTGTTTTATAGTCTTCACTCTTCAAAACAACCTTCTTTGCCCTCTTCGTCTTCTTTGGTTCTGTATTCTCTAAACTGGTCATTGGGGCTATAAAAGCCATTCTGAAGAGCTGCTCCAATTCCAAATGAATTTTATAATTTTTATCCCAAAATGTTCGATCTCACAGATGGAGACGTGAAGGAACTCGTAAAAAGCTACAAGAAAAAAAATCATAAAAAGCCAAGACGTGCTCAGTGACGTACGCATTGGAACATACGAAGTGGACTATCTGGTAGAATGTGGGCTGAAATACATCTATGGAGAGGAGCACTACGTAGATGGGAACATTGTAGACTGCAAGACGAGCTTCAAGAAGAATTTGAAGAAGCAGATCGCACACACGTGCAAAATGGACTTTGTGACGGTAGAAAGAGCAGAGCTGCCTGTAAAAGGAATGGCAATTTGTAGTGCATGGTCTGAGAAGAATCTGGCTCTGATTACGAGTGAAAACAAGTGTCATGCTTTCTTCAAGAACCATTTCCTGTTTGATTTTTCAGCAAGCAATGCAACAGCTTTGGATGCTTCAAGTAAGTTTATTGTACTGGGAACCAATACAGGAACAATAATACAGTATGATCCAGTATTGAAGGCAAGAAATGCAAACAATAAGCATAGCAAATCAGTTACAGCAGTACACTGTTACCAGGATACAGTCTTATCGGCATCTGAGGATGGATCGTATTCATTAGGCAACAATAAGGTGGATGTGACACCAAGTGGAATTGTAGACGCCCTGTTGATGCCAGATGGAAGCGTAGTCTGTGCATGTGGTGATAACTCGGTTGTTGTATCAAAAAATAACGCATTTACAACATACTTGGGTCATAAAGACAAAATTATAAATCTAAGCCATAACAAGAGCACAATCACATCATCAGTAGACGGATTCTTTGGCATTTTAAGGAATGAATTGAACATGGTAAACATGGAGTGCTCTAAACACGAACAGAGGAACAGTTCACTGGTACTTGGATATGGTATGACAAAATTAAGGCATTTCGATCTGAATAGCGGTAAGATAATTGATTTATACGAGGAGAACAACACAATATTAAATAAGCCACAAATCAACTGTGCCACAGTGGAAGGAGATTTGATTGCATTTACAACAGGAAATGGATCAACAATCAACTTCTTGGATCCAAGAAGCGATGACAAAATGTGCTATGAAATAGGTCAGCCAATTATTGATCTCAAGTTCTCAAATACGTCTGATCTGCTTTATGTTGCAACAGAAACCAGTTCAATAATGTGTAATGTGAAACGTATAACAATGTGAGGAAGCAAATCGATACAATAAATGGCCTATGATGAAAAATATTCAGATTGAAGAATTACAGTTACGTGTCTATTTGCAGTCTAGTGAATTATCGTACGATAAAATATGCAAAATAGGAGCCAAATACAGGGGAAACTACAAGATACAAGAATTATTAGGTCGAAATCTATTTAAACAAGAATGTTATGGTGAAGCAGCCCTATGGTTCTATTTTTTATACAAGAGAAAACATTCAGCAAAATACAGGCTTCTTAGTTGGGTATCACATGAGATGAACAATCTACAAAAAGAAGGAGTAGAATTAAAAAGGAATGAAACGGTATTTGATGATCAGGCTGCTAGAAAAGAACATGTTGGTCTATTTCTGGAGCCTGAATTAGATAAAATGTGCAATATTGATCTGTTTAGGGATCAAACAATTAATGGTGACGTGATTATTGACGACAAATGGGCTACAATTGATGTTAACGATAATTATAAGACAAATCTAGCAAAATTAAGGCAATTTTATTGCGAAGACACAAACCTGAAATTGATTAACTATTTATTGGTCAAAGATGTGTTAAATGTAACAAGAATCAAGGAACTGCGATTTTTACATAATAGAATTGAACAAAATATCAAGAAGAATGTCTATCAAAGACTATTCAAGTATTTATTCCATGATACACTACCAGATTACCTATGATTGCTATAGAAAGAAATACAAATAAACCAACATCACCAGAAATCTGTAGATATCAGTTGCGCCCAATTTGGATTCCCCATACGCTCTGTTGTAGAATGTTATTGGATACTCCTTGATTTTGTAGTTCTCATATTCTGCCCTGGCCAATATTTCAAATTGAAATCCAAATCCCTTATTGCTCACTTTCTTAATCAGATTCTTGAATATCTCAGTCTTATAGATCCTAAAGCTACTTGTTAAATCTGATGACTTCAGATCCAATATGAATCTTCCTGATGAATTGGAAACAGACGAAATCAGTCTTCTACTAAATTTCCAATGACATACCTTCCCACTTGCCATCACTTCCTTGTTTCCGTCATATTTAAGTGATTTGGAATATCTTGTTGATGCAACTATGTCGTATTCCTTGCAGTATTTGGTCATTCCAATGATGTCAAATGGGTCCTGTTGTAGATCAACATCGATTATTATTGTGTATGGATGAATACAGTATTTCGTTGCATCCATATACGCACTTCCTAGTCCCAGTTTCCCCTCTCTTTCAATCACTTTGATGTTTGGGTTGTTTAGGGCTTTAACACGTGATGCCGTTTCATCTGGTGAATTGTCATCCACCACAACCAGCCTAAACTCCGCATCCAGTCTTCTAAATATTGCGATAAGCATGTTGACCATACAGATGATGTTTTTTGATTCATTGTATGTTGGTAGAATCACATTGTACATTCAGGGTAATATTTGTAATGTTTATGAAGGCATAGGAAATAAATCAAGAATACATTAGTAACTAATTGACTGAATTACAATTTAACTAATTCTATCTTATATTTTAAGCTGCAGATGATGCTAATTCTTCCTTTAAAACATTCCAGTGATTAATAGCAATAAATCAAAACCCAATATCTCGAATAGGCAAATAACTGCATGTTTTAGTTTCATATTTGATTGTTATCTATCTTTGTCCTATTTTTGGCATACATGTTGTATACCAGAATGACTATGGTGAACACCACAACAAATACCATCCAAACTCCAGCTATCAAATAAGCTCCCCATTTCTCTCCTTCTTCAGTCATCACAATCATAGAGTCTTCCAATTCTATCTCTTTTAGTTTTTCGGTGTATACGGATTTAATGTTTGTATATTTGATCTTTTTGATGTCCTTGGCTACAGCTTCAAAACCTTTCATGATTATTTCTTCTTTTTTCATTCTTTCTCCCATTCCATCCCATAACTTAATAAAGTTGATCAGTTGAGTATTCTGTATTGGGTCATAGTATGCATTGCCATCATTCTCATCCGCGTCCATAGTATTATATACTATGGCCCAAAAATAGTAGTTACCAATAGAATGCTTGTATATACAGAAATACCTTAACATCTCATACTTTGAGAAATTCCTGTTAATGAAATCCCATGCTGCTATTTTCCTAATGTTAAGCTGTTCACTAATCTCTTTAACTGCATTTTGTAGACATTCTACGATCACATCATTATCATCCTGATGTTTCAAGGTACCCATCTGTTTGTGTAACTTCTTTAACAATATAACCTTTTCCTCAATATTCGCTGGGTTGATAGTTATCAACATCAACGTTTGAAATACTTCATGCTCTGTCTGATGCAAATTTTCGATGTTCTCGTTTGGTTCTATGTTACCTTGAAATATCACTTTAGTACATCGTGTATTTGGTATTTCGTATGTTTGACCTGGTAGAGCTTTGACAATGACTCTGTTTATACTAATAGTGCCATATGATGTATTGTTGTATACATCTGGTAGTTGAATGTTGTTGTCTATTGCATCCCAATTCGCATACAATTGCTTTGCACTCTTTTTATCATAAATGTAGTCTTTAAATTGAAACAGAAAGTATTTTGATCTGTTGTTAGTCACTCTGAATACTTCAAGGAAACAAATGTTGATTTTGCCTGGTTCTGTTTTGAATTTTATTGCCTTATCGGCATAGCCAACTATATCAACATTTCTTTCTAGTTGATCTGCTGTTGACTCGGTTATTTTTAATATCTTTTTATATGTTGTCAAACATGAAGGTATATTGTATTTCCTCATTTCCTCCACATTGGTTTTCTTTATATACTCGCCAACCGTTTTTAACTCCTCTATCTGTCTATTATAAAACCTGCCGTTTCTGGTTTTTGAGTATAAGTACATGTCCTTTATCAGATTCGATGCAAACTGATCCGCTGTATCTATAAGATGGTTATATCCCAGATCAATATTTTGATCTTTGATTATTTTTTTAACAATGTCAGTATCTGCAAGTCTACAGAAATATTCGTCAGGTACAACAGGTTTCAACGCAACATAGACTATATCACCACATTGTTCCAGTTCAAAATGATATGCACTCGATATTAAAGCAATATAGATTTGCCACATTTTTAGTAAGGGGCAAAGAAAGGAAGATTTTAACATTGCTCATTGATTTAGGAGCTCTACTACTTTAATTTGAAGCACAAGTCGCCATGATCACTGATTAATGTAGTACAACATACATAATCAGATGTATGTGCACAAGATACAACAGTGTCGTCAGTATTGATCAACGGCAATATTGACCTGAAATGTGGTTCTGAGCAAAGGATGATCATTAAGCAAAATCTAATGCTGTGTTCCCTCCTAAACTGATGGATATAAAAACAAACGCAACAAATTTTACCGTAAAATTTCAGGCTCACGACATCTGATGCTACTAAATTTCTTATCAAAAATATGCCAATAATATTCAAGGGATCAGACAATGAAACTAAGGAAGCAATCGTGCTAGTCAGAAAGAGGTGCGAGACGAGCTGATGAGCCTGAAACTCTACTAGCAATGCGAGATACGATACGCAAACCGGACAGTAGCATCTACTGATATTCAATTTGTTTTTACGTTCATTGCCTGTTCCAAACAAACATGTACCGCTTTTCGTTTAATATTCTTCAAAGATGGTGTTAGAGACACAACCAAAAAATACGATATTGTAACCAAGCATTTCTTTGGTTTACCTTGAAAATACTTCAATATAGACATCTGTGACCGATTTTGTGATTATATAGCCCGTTTTAACATATTGATTAATTTGTTGAAAACGATCAGGTTGAATTTGTCTTTTTCTTTTTAGTCAAGACCCCAGTTTCTGTCTGTTCTGGAAACGAGACATCTTGCCCTAATGACCCTGCAGCTCTTTGATTAATCTGCCTTTCAATGGTAGCCCTGATTGATTTTGATAGTTCTGATGCTTTTATACAATGTGTGTATTCCACAATGCCACCATTACTAATATTGTCAACCTTATCTGGTTTAAATGACAGATTGATTTTAATTTGATCATTTTTGCTCCTAATGAGAAATTTCTTCTTCTCGTATTGCGAAATCAGTTTGTTTACACGACCTTTCTCACAATCTCTTGGATTGATTATACATTCTGTTTCCTCATTGATTTTCAGTTCGCTTGTGTTGGAATCAGTCTCTGTCTTTGTTATTGGGATAACTGCATTCTCCTCTGATGTGTTACTAAACGACATTGTTTGTTTATTATCTGTTATTTTATATTCAGAATAGTAAATATTATGTATATTACGAATATGTAATCTGTATTAGAGGGGAATAATAATTGATCAGTGTCAATGTCATGATTATCTGATAAATGTGATATTAATCAGTATGATTGGTTAAATATGTTCAATTTATCAAATATATTCATGCTTAATTCATTTTAGTCTGTTTATGCAAAGCTGTTTTTGAGTAACCCTAAAAATGCTAATTGTAAATGTGGCTGAGAAGCCATCTGTAGCCAAATCAATATCAAGAATACTGTCTAAGAGTGTAGTTACAACTAAGTCACCTAATAAGTATTGCATGAACCACAATTTCAAGCTGGATGCAGATCAGATGGTTTTTACCTCAGTATTGGGACATTTGGTTGAACTGAATTTTGCACCAGAGTACAGAAACTGGGGGAATACGGATCCATACGACTTGTTTGATGGTGAAATAACACGAGATGTACGAGATGATTTGAGCGGAGTCAAGAAAAATATAACAAAATTAGCAGATGAGGCAGATATGGTTGTAATATGGACAGACTGTGATAGAGAAGGAGAGAATATAGGCAAGCAGATAAAGGATCTATGTGGTAGCACACTGGTCAAACGAGCCAGATTCTCAGGAATTAGCAAACATGAAATAATGAATGCATTTAGCAATCTACAGGAAATAAACCAGAATGAATCAGACGCAGTAGAAGCACGAATGGAACTGGATTTGAGATGCGGAAGTGCTTTTAGTCGTCTCCAAACCATGGCACTCTCTGAGAAGTTTGGAAACCAAAAGAAGGTGATTTCGTACGGTCAATGCCAAATACCAACACTTAATTTCGTAGTACAGAGACACAAGCAAATCAACGAGTTTGTTCCAGAACAGTTCTATTCGCTGATTGCTGAAGACAATGGAAATGAATTCACATGGAAAAGAGGCAACCTGTTTGATAAAAATTGCGTGATCCATTTCTATAACGAAATAGAAAAATGCGATTTTATTGTAGAAAGTGTGGAATGCGCCCAGAAAACAAAATTCAAGCCAATTCCATTACGAACAGTTGAATTTCAAAAGATATGCACCAGCTATTACAAGATACCAGGAGCTGAAGTAATGAGAATTGCAGAGAAACTCTATAATCAAGGATATATCAGTTATCCAAGAACAGAAACAGACTCATTTGGAAGTGGATTTGGATACCAAAGAATCTTGGATAAGTTAAAGGCAGATGACAAATTCACAGAATACCTGAATGAAATGGAGTTCAAAACACCAAGAAAGGGTAAAAATAATGATCAGGCTCATAGTCCAATATATCCATTGAAGAGTGGAACTGGTCTATCAGGAAAGGATAGAAATGTGTATGAGATGGTTGCAAGAAGATTCATTGCATGCTGCTCCGATGATGCACGTGGTTTAGAAACTGTCATAAAAATAAGGCCAAATTCAAAAGCAGGAATCAAAGAAGAGCAATTTATTTGCAAGGGACTCAAAATAACAGAACAGAACTATCTGAAGATATACATTTATGATACGTGGAATAACAAGAATTTAAGAAACCCAGATAACTATGAGACTGGTAAGATAATGATGAATTCAAAAATAGAAATCAAAGATGGGGCAACAACAGCCCCAAGTTATTTGACAGAGAAAGACCTGATAAATCTGATGGATAAAAATGGAATAGGAACCGATGCAACAATACACGAGCATATAAATAAGATACAGATCAGAGAATATGCCTCCAAATCAGGTCAATTCATAAAACCAACTGAGTTGGGAATCAATTTGATCAATGCATACAATTTATTAGGACTGGAGATATCAGAATGCAAAATAAGAAAGGAAATGGAAGAGAACCTGGTGAAAGTGTGCAAGGGAGAAATAGCCAGTCGTGAGTTGGTTCAGAGAGAAATAGGAATCTACAAAAAGATCTTCATAAAATTCAGAAACAAAATTGATCAATATAAACGCATTATGGAAACAAAACAGGCTGTTGAAACTAAAAGAAGTAGCACAACAAAGCGATTCAAAGCATCCGATACAGAGAACAGAAAGAATTCAGTGGTTGAATGTGGCTGTAAAAAACAGGCTGATTTCAGACAAGTCACCAAAGGAAAAAACAAGGGGAAATGGTACTACGGCTGCTGTGAATACCCAAGCAAATGCGACTTCTTTCTATGGGATGGAGAAACCAAACAGGAGAGAATCAACAAGCAGCAAATTGTGGTTGAAGACGTCCAATGCCAATGTGGAAAGGGCGCAGTTAAAAAGACATCGACGACTGAGAAGACAAAAGGGCGACAGTTTTATTGCTGTAACAGATCGTACAAAAAATGCAAGTTCTTTCAATGGGCTGATTAAAATGGCACATTATTCAGGTTTATTGAATTTGTTTCTGGTGAATTGAATGAACTTCTTGCAGACTGCGCCTTTCTGAGAAGCAAAGAGCGCGAATGTGATTTGTTGGTGCTGTTGTATGTCAGTTAGTGATAAAATATCATAGAAATCTACAATATTGTTCATATCCACGAAATTGTGGAAATTGGCGTAAAATACGTCTTGCATGGCTGAGGCTGAAAATGATTTGCTAAATTTGTCAGGTGCCAATTTTTCTTGCTGAAGTGGCAGTGTCGCTGTCTCCAAATCGAACGAATCGGTTGATTCTTCGATTATTTTACGTCTGTCTTTTGTCTTTGATTGAACAGTGTCAGTTTCGTGTACTTCCTTAACCTCTTTGCTGCTATTGTTAAAGTAATAAATGAATTTGCTATTTTGGTAATCAATCTGCTTTCCAGTGCATTTCTTGTGGAATATTTTACCAGCAAGTCTGAATATCGACAGTGTGTTTTCATCTTCAAGGAGTTCTTTGGTTGTTGCAAGTTCTTTCCGTGTTTTACCAGGAAATGATTGTGGGGTGACTGTGATCAAAGTGACTTCATGTCTCTTTCTACTGACAAACACATCAGATATCACAATCAGGTTCTTGAAATACGTTATTTTATCAAGAACATCACTGTTCTCTATGTTTTGAATGATGTATATACAGGGTATGAGTGGTTTGTGCTGGTATCTGATTTCAGAAATATCAATTTGTTTATATTTGATGTTGTATTTCTGTAGCATATTGATGGTTGTAGAGAGCTTATTAGTGCCAGGGGGACCCTGTAAAACAATTGGATACTTCTTCTTTAGAATGTGCTCTTTGAGTTGTTGAAGGGCCTTCATATGGGTAGAATTCAATAAAAAATACATAGGCGCGTTTAACAAGCATTTTGGTACTGGTTACTGTGATTCATAGATTGTCTTGTAATAATCTTGCTTAAGTGGGAAAATCTCAATAAACTTCCAAATGCAATTCCAGGTGGTGTTCTCATAACTAGAAAAGTTTTTGAATCTTATGTCTGTTGTTGTTTTCATGGCATTTGACTCCAATTCTTTCTGTAATCTCTGTTCAGGTATTATATTTCTTGTTATTGGCGATAATTGATTAAGATCATCTTGTTTTAAAAGGAATTGTTCTGCTGCAGTAGGTGAATTCTTCCTTAACAAGTTATGAATGGTTCGTTCAATAACATTCTGAATGTCATTATTCGTTTGTGTTTTGGTTTCCACTGTGCTTATTTTGTTGATTTCTATTTCATCTTCAGGTATTTTGTTATTTTCTGTATCATCTACAATTATTTTGCTCATTATTTCTGCTTCTTCATCCAGTACTTTCATAGCGTATTCTTTATCCTGCATATTTGCGTATCTCCAGACTTTAATCCCTTTATAGTGCTCATTGATTCTTGTGCTCTTTTTGACAATTCTGATATTGTATAATTCACCATCAATAATCTGAGTCTTAGTTGAAATGTCTGTATGTGTTTTAGTTTCTGTTGTGATTATGTACTGTGTTTCAAATACAATATCTCTTTTCTTGGCTATTTTAGATGACAATGCACATACAATGTCTGTGATTGCAGAAACCCTATACGTATTGAGTACTAGAGCCATTATATACACAAACTTGATACGTTCAATGACTTGAGAAAACTCATATTCACCGCATTCAGTGAAAGACCTGTTTTTCATGAAAGTCTTGAAGGTGGTTGTAAAGAAATTATCCAGAGAGCTTTCAACTTGTAACATGAAGGTGTTGGGTGTCTTATGTTCAGGTTGTGTCCTATTTTTGTGGTTGAACAGTTCTTTTGCAATTTTAGTATATGGTGGTTTTTCAAAGCACATATAGGGTTAGTTTTTTTAAGAATTATAAAGAAAAACATTAAATAAAGTGCATAATTATAAATGCAAAAATACAATGCATATATGACTATTCCAACCATAGATGTAAGTTAAGAAATATGTTTTAAAAAGTAAATTTTTATTTACATAAAAAATCAAAAAAGTTATCCAATATAATTTATTTAAAATTGAAATATGCTAACTAAATGTTTGGTTTGAGAGAATAAAACTGACACTTAGCAATATCAGATAAACAAAACTTTGTTAGAAAAAGAAGATATTTGTAAATCTGCGCATTTAAAGAAACAAGAGAAGTTGCAAAGTGTTGCTATACAACTACGCATAGAATAAAAATCAACTGCTGTATGTTTTAACTTAATTAGTTTGTTTGGATACGTTTTAATTAACTACAATATTATAATAAGTATTTATAAAACTGTCATAAATAGAAATGTAAATAATACAAATATTTCTAGTTATAGTGTTTACACAATTCATTCAATCAAAATATTATAATTATTAACGTATTTTTATGTATATAGAATCCATTTATACAATATAATGGATCATGTCCTTTTTTTTCCCCACGTGGGGAAAAAAAGGGACCTTAGAAATTTTAAGGTAAAAATCCACCCTTTATATTTAGTAGGTTTTTACCCTTATGTTTAGCTACTACCAGAATGTGCTGGAACCTGTTATGAATGGGCCTGTTGCGGGTCTCGTGGAGTTCCTCAGAGTTAGAGGAGTGTTGAAGCGAGTGGTTGCATGTCCAACGTGCTCTGTTGACATGGTATGCAAGCCATACACCCGCAACAAAGATGGAATGGCGTTCAGGTGCTACAACCATGATTGCAGTG